AAAAAAAACATCCTCGCGACAAAAACCCAACCCCGGTAGTATACACCGGGGGGTTGGGCGGGGGCGGGGGGCGTTGGAAGCTGTCCCCGATATGATTGGTGTAACCAATGCTTCGGACGAAATTGAACTCCAAGGTTCGAGGTACCGCAATGCACATCCACCACTACCACAGCCACAGCAACCAGCAGGACACACACCAAGAGAGACCAAGAGAGCAGCAGCGGTAAGGAAACAGCAACAATCAAACTCAAAAACCGCACCCTCCCAAGTAACCGCAGAGCAAGAAACCATGCACCTGGACTCAAGCGTGCTACTTGGACAGGTACTCTCGTCGTGAACCAACCAAACACCAATTCCTCACCCGAATATCGACGTCGCCCCACATCGTATATTACCAAGCTGCTGTAGTAGCTAAGACGGAGGGCAAGAACATAAAGAATGCCACATATGGCCTGTTCCGCCTAATCTCACCTGCTCCACTCCGTCTCCTCGGACATTCGGGAAGAAAGCACGGCCTCAAACGCATCCTCATCTTCCCCGCCCCGCTGTGCCGCCGCCGCCGCCGCCGCATAACCACCGGAACTGTCGCCGCCACCATGACCGCGCAGCTCGCCGTCGCCGACAAAGAACATCTCCCTCACACGGTACAGCTGCTCGGTGTCCAGCAGCGAGTCCAGAAGCGCCAGCGTGCTCGATGCCGCCCCTCCCACCCCGGGGGCATCGTCGGCAGCGGCACTCCCCGCACACGCCTCCAGCGATATTTTGAACTCCTGGAGCACGGCGGAGGGTGCCACCGTCTGGTGCTCTTGTCGCTGGGCTGACGCCGTACAGACCCCTTCGCGTCGACCACCGGCGACGTTGATGTTGTCGTCGTCGATGCTGCCGGCGTCCGAGTTGTCTTTCGCGGCTGTTGCAGGAGCTGGGCGTCCCTCCGACGACGCAAAGAAAAGGGGCGCCAGAGGCACAGCTCTGCATGGGTGGATAGATGTGTGCACGCGTTGTGCGTGTGCGCGGGCGAGAAAACAACGAAGCATGATGGAGGACGTAAGGCGGTCGCAAGCAGGGCAAGAGTAGGGAGAAGCGGGGGTAAGCGTGCTTGTTTACGTAGACATAACATGCGTGGTGTGTGCGACGTACGCATCGCGTGCGCGTATCTTTCGACCAGCGCTACATAGTCGTTTCCACACACCGCACAGACAACATTTCCAACAGACTACTGTAGGCTGATGTCGTAGATTTGGGAAAGTAAAAGAAGGCGCCGAGCTGAGCCCTCTCCCAAGAGACAGATAGCGAAGTGATCGCCAGGAAACCCTAACACCCCATGGCAACGTTAGGAAACACGCGAACGCGTTCTCACTTTCGAAGGCGCGCGTCGCGAGAAGCAACGTCGTGTACCCAGAGGTGAAGCAGCTGCAGCCACGGTATCTCGGCATCCCCCCCCATACGGCCTTGATTGTCTTCATCAGAGTCGTTGGCTGATCGTTTGTCGCTCTTAATTTAGGAGGTGATCGGGATCGAGCGAGATATGCAAGGAAAAGGGAAAGGAAGAACAGAGGACGAAAGGCAGCGGCACAATGCAGAAGCGGAGACAAAGGCAGGTACGGGGAGAATGTCGGTGCAGAGAGAGGTACAGCAGTGCACCCGCAGCTCGAAAAAAACAGGACAACGCCAACGCCTCCGTATGTATGTATGGCTGCTGATGCAGATGCTGTGGAAAACATGTATGTGTGTATCCTCGTTCTACCGCAGAATTTGAGGTACTATATCTACGGTATGTACCGATGACAGCAGCTTTGGTATCCAATTTTACTGAGAAGCATCCCAATGTCTAGCCAGTCCAGATCAAAACAAATCAAGACCATACACATCAAGAGCGACCAGACACAACACAAACATGTGCTGCTGTAGTAGTGGAATGTTGATAAGGTCGAGGCAGCAGAGACTAACGTTTCCACAGAACAATTCAGTAAAATATATCATTAAATGCCCTCAAAAAGAACGTCTGGTCTAGAGCAGGGTCCTAAAAAAACGCCTGCAAACCCAAACACTAACATAGGGTTAACACGTCAAGGAACGTTTTTATATATATTTCGAACGACCTCCCGCTGGGGCAGAGCGCACCAGCCTGCAGACCTTGGCCCAAGCCTCATCCTCGCCTCTCCTCCTCCTCCTCCTCCTCATCCCCACCCATCTCTCCTGCTCATCCTCACTCAGACCTCCTCCCCCTCATCCCCACCCATCTCTCCTCCTCATCCTCACTCAGTCCTCTCCTCCTCATCCCCACCCATCTCTCCTCCTCATCCTCACTCAGTCCTCTCCTCATCCTCACTCACCTCTCCTCTTCTTCACTCAGTTCCCCTCCTCATCCTCACTCACCTCTCCCCCTCATCCCCACCCACCCTCCTCATCCTCTCTCACTTTTCCTCTTCATCCTCACTCACTTTTCCCTCTTCATCCTCACTCACTCTTCCTCCTCATCATCATCCTCACTCACTCATCATCCTCATCATCCTCACTCACCTCCTCTCCTCCTCCTGGCAAGAGCCCGAAAAGCAACGGGTGCTCCACCGCCGCGACCTCCAGCGCGTGGTGCAGCAGCGACTCGTACGTGCCCGACAAGGCCGTTTCGACTCCGAAAGTCACGTGGAGCGATGGCCCCCTAGCTGTGCTGCTGCTTGGCGACGCCCCCCTCCCTCCACCCGGCCTCGCGGCTGTGCCGTTAACCGCTGCCTCGTGAGGCCAGCCCCTGAAGAACAAGCAGAGAGAACCAGCGCCCGTCGCGGGAAACGGGCACACGAAGGTTGGTATGGTCCGCAAGTACATTCGCACGACTACAGCAGCTTTAAAAAACAACTCGCACGTCCTCCCCGCCTCTCCTCTCTCTCTCTCTCTCTTTTTCTCTCTCTCTCTCCCCCCCCCCATCCTCGCTCTCGCATGTGCTGGGTGCATCATCACCATCTCACCGTGGTATGTACATCATATCCCCGGGATAAAGGTCAAGCACGGCGATCGGCTCCCCCAGCTCAGCGGCCTTGGGTTTGAACTTCAGGTCCGGTCTCGGCATCGTAACCATCTCGTGGTACAGTATCCAAGTCTTGGACCCTGTTAGCTGAACCACAATCCCTATCAATGGCGGGCCGTCGTTTCAACAAAAAAAGGGAGCTGCATTGTATCGTAGTCACTCCCTACAATACCCTCCAGTGGTCAAAAAAGAGAAATACATGCTGCTATCATTGAACCACGTACTAAATCAAGCGCGGAGCATGTCCCCGTTGTGTGCGACGCTTGGCAAGCGTGTTGTTAGAGAGTTGCAATGACAATTGATCGTTGGTGAAGCAAGCACTTTCCATTTAGTCGCGGGGAGGTCCCCTTCCTTCTTTCTTTCGTTCCTCCTTTCCTTCAAGTCTCCTTCATTAGAGAGGCTTGGACGTACAGTACGTACATCGAGATACTACAACCGATCGGAGTCCGTGTTTCGGGCTGAAGACTCCGGTCTTGTTGGTAGGGGTTGTGGGCGTGCGGGCTCGGGGGATGGGGTCAGCACTTCCGAAACGGTCCCGCCAACGGTGCCGTGACCGTGACGTCATCGAAAGGCAACGAAACACTCCTTCGTCAATAGCGGCGTTGGTTTCAAGCCGATACTCATTTCATACAGGCAACGCTCCCCTCCACCTACCACAAAGCTTCCCATGCGAAAGGCTGTCTCGCGGAGCAGCAGCAGCAGGCGGAACGGCGGCTACCTCATCTCTACTCCCACCCTCATGATCCACCGGCGCGCGCATACATGCCCTACTGCACACCAGCACCAACGAAACCAACGAGTACACGCACGTACCAACGACCCGACCCGCGTACGCACCGTCCATCCAGTCGAAGTGTGCCTCGAATCCCTGGCTTTGGGGTGGGGTCATGTACAGGTTCGCGTTCACGGGCTGCCCCAGCACATGTTCCAGCGCCCGCGAAGCCCTCAACACGCCGCGCCACCTCCTCTGCAGTCGGTTGATGACCACGGAAAACCCTCCTCGGTGAAAAGCCTTGCGAGCTTCCTCCAGAGACACTACTCTGTCTGCCCCCCCGGCATGCGTCTTTCCTGGTGCCGGTGGTACGTTGCTTCCCGGACCGTCTGTGGCACCGCTTGCAGGGGACGAGGAGGAGGAGGAAGAGGAGGAGCGTGTTCCCTGCTTGTCCGCTGCTAAGGCCGACGGGGGGAGTCCGGCCGTCCAGAACTCACCGTCAGCTTGCACGAACACCCGCTTGATGATGTTCCAGTCACTGCCACCGCCGCCGTAGCCGATATCCGTAGTGTTTTAGGGAAGGGGGTCGTTGGTTAGAGAGGGCGGGGGGGAGGGGGGGGTGTTCTTAAGGTGTCTGGCATCTGCATAGGTGTTGTCTTGACAAACGTCGATGGGAAAACGCACGCGACGCCAGCGGCATGTTCCGCCTGCCGATGCATCATCCATCATCCCTTACAGCAATGTTAACACCTCCGCCCGACTGTCGCGGTGAAAGGTTACTAATATTGATACGAGCTTAGGGGAAGACTAAGACCTGCCCCAAATGCTCTTCGATGGCCGCCACAGCAAGGCGTATGCCGACTAAACACTGACTTGTCGCCCTTTCTTCAGCAATCTTGGGCGTGTTCAAAGTCTTACACACCGAAAGAGTAGTGCTTGGTGCCAGGCAAGTCGCCACGAGGGTAGGCGATCCATTTCCTCGATCCCGTCTACATAACCCTGGTGTGGCATTCAGCCAGAATCGTGTGCACGCGTCCTCCATTATACCACCCTCGTAAAAAGATGTACGTATGATCTTCGTTCAGGGGCGGTTTTCGATTTTTAACCGTTGTCCGTCTCCTCTTCGCTTCACCTGCCCAGGACCATGGGCTCCTCTCCTTCCCCGGAAAGCGAGACTCCCTTCTCGATCACGCTTTCCACGTCACCCAAACCGAACTCCACCAGGCGGTCGTAGTGGTTCGGAGATCTTCGCAAGAGGAAAGCACGGAGAGCGGGGAAGTTAAATTGTTAAATTGGCTAGTGGATCGGAGATCTTAGGGCGGGGAGAGGGGACGGGGGGCCGGGAAGTTAATCGACTATGTAGTGAATCGGAGATCTTGACAAAAAGAGGAAGCGCATAGCGGGGGCGGGGAGGGCACGAAAGAAGTTCATTATTGTCACAACCACATATCTTGCTACAGCAGTAAGGCGGCAACCTCGTCATGCAGCCTGCTCCGCCCCCCCGCTGTCCCGAAAACCTTGATGCCACGTCGGATACAGTACATGGATCCTCGTTGTGGTGATTTCCACACAGCAATACAATACAGGCACAAGCGCTATGATGAGCTGTTATATTGTACCGGTATAATACACGTTCGTTCGTGTTCGCATCATTGATTGTGTATTCGAGGTATTCCAAAGCGTACAGTAGTAGCGCGAGAATGTGATAAAAGACGCCATGCAGCGGTGTTGCCCACCCTCCGCTCTATACCCTCTATTATATACCCCCTTCGTCACAACCTGTATGTGGGTTCCTCCTTTGAGCGCAGTTTATCACACTATAATAGCGACGATCCATATCCCCCCCCCTCTACTTACCACATGCCACTGTTGTCACACCCCTTGTATCGTATCTGGGAGCCCTGATTTGACCGCACTTCATCACACGGGCGACATTATCACCCCCCCACCATTGTCACGCCTCCTGTAGGTGGGCCTGTGTGAGTGCACTTGATCATCAGGACGGGTGACATGAGATATCACACCCCCTTGCACTACCACACCCACCCATGTGATTACCTTTGAGCCCCAAAAACGTTTTTTATCGTACGGGTCTGGTATCTTATGCAACCTACGGTATTCCCGCACCGTTTTGTTGCGCGGCAGGTCTTCTGGCTCAAAGTTTTTCCTCCATCCATCTCCATCCTTGTTTTTTCTTTGTCTTGCCTTTTCCCTTGGGCAAGATGTAGACTCTACCCTCCATATCACCACGACCATCCTCCTTTTCGCCGGCACTACTGAAATCCGAACCAATTGGCTAGCGTGTGTGTGGGTGCGCAGTGCGCAGGACGTGTGGGGCTCCGAGTTGGCATTGCGACTATTGGCGATGTGAGATTCCCAAAATACCGCTATTGAGGGCAGCGTCCTTTACACAGCAGTTGCAGTAGCAAATGCCACTTTGTCGGGTTGAAATTAATTGTGACAAGAGATGTTTTGAGATTCTGATGCCACTATACCGGAAGTTCCACTACTGTTCAAGTTGCCACTATATCGAGCTGCCTACTGCTGTACATGTACCTGGTACATGTGTAAGATTTGTACTTGTAGCAGGTTCATGCTAGTGGATGAGGATAGTGGGAACAGCAGTCCCTCCGCAAAATTCACCAACAACTGCAACAGCACAGTCTCACTCTCACTCTCACCCACACACACCTTCCTCGAATGACCATGGGTTTTCTTTCCCAAAACGTCTCGGCGAAGTCTTGCAGCGAGAAGGGGTCCATGAGCTCTCGTACCAGGGTGACAGATGTCTCAGGCACCGGTGGATGCACCATGGGCCGCAGTTGGGTTACTGCTGTGGAAGAAGAGCATTCTTGCAGCTCCAGGTGCTCCTCACCGCCCGCTACTTGAACAGCAACGGCAGTGGCTAAAATCAGGAGGAAAGCGATGAATCCCATGGCGAGCGCAAGGGCCCTCCACAACCCTCGAAAAGGCTGGTACCGAAATAGGTGTCAATCTACGGCTGCTTGTAGCTCCCTTGTAGCATAGCACAGCAGTGGTTGATTGGTGAAACTTGGAGGTTCCGCCGCATTCTGGAGTTCAAATTTAGGAAGGCATGTCGGTTGGTCCATTTTTGAGAGCGTGGTCAACAACCAACCACAAGACAGCGTCCTTCGACACACCATATCCTGTATCTCAGCTTATCTGTCGTGTGGGGTCGTGGACAACTTTGTGGGAAATCATCAACCATCACGAAAAAAGGGTAGAGATCAGGGTTCATCCAAATCATCAGTCACCGGTAGGCCCTCGTCGTCTATAGCAGGTGTTTGTAGCTACATAGGGAACACGATTCGATATACTGCTGTAGTTTATACCCTCTGTACCAGCAACTGCTGCTCTCCTCGTATGCATACTGTAGTAGTGAAAATTATATCGACTCCCCGGCTAGGTTTATCTGCACCAACGTATCTCGGGCCCCAATCCGTTATTACGAAATCCACCATGTGTGTATTGGGCAAGTTTCATGAATCGATCATGTGTTAGTCTCGTGGTCCTACTACAGCAGCAGCTCATGTACTACTGTTCTGTATTGTAGTCTACTGCTGTATTTGATCACTGCTGCTAGTCGGTACGACCGTGAGACCGTGACTTAGGTTAGGCATCATGTGCATCGTAATTCGTCGTATGTCCGTTGCACCAAAAAAAAAAGCGAAGTTCGTCCGCATGGCAAATTCAAATTCTACCTGTGATGCGCGGCTGACAGCAGTACGTGTAGGTTGGTTGATGGCAGTAGTTTGGACAGTTACGTATTGTGTGCCTACGCGTCTTTAGGCATATACCACTGTAACGCAACCCAAACACTTCCATGGAAATGCTGCTGTATGTGTTGCAGGATCATCCTGAGGCAGGTGCATTTATTTGCTGGTGCGCGTGATCTTACGGCCTGACTCAACTCAACGGGATGTCGAGCGGTTTCGAAACGCCTCTTTTGGGCAAGAGGCCTTCACTATCCTCCGGCTCGGAGAGGGGGACCGAAACCAGGAGAAGAAGTGCATCTACTCCGGCCACAGAGGTAAATTGAAAGCTTGTACTATTGTCTTGTGGGTTACGTGTTTATATTCTAGTCTTATTGTGTTGACGCCAGATCAACGGCGGATGCCCCCATCATGCGAGTTTGCCCCTTCGCTGCTGCACCCTTCTTGTTTTATTCTTGTTTTATTCAAACACGGATAGATACGAACATAACGTTGGAGATTTGTCCATCGGACAAAAGGTTGGGATGGCTTCCAATCTCGAGCAGCAACAGCTGGAGTGGGCTCCGGAGTATTGAGTGCTCCTCCCGTCCCCTACCTTCTATCTACCGCCAAACAGGTGCCGCAAACAGAAGCTACTTCCGGGCTTTGCGCTTCCCACAACGCCAAGAATATGTTCCTTGAATTCTCCACCTGGAATGCCGCGGACCTGGTATCCCGGCTTCCTCTGCTCTTGTACCTTCTAGAGCACGAGCGAGGTGGCGTCACGAAGCGGTGCTTCGGGCCGCAGCTCGTTCGAGACGCCAGGATTTGGCTGCATGGGTCCAAGTACAGACACAGCGTTGCAAGCATCAGGGGTGCTGACCTTCCTGGCCAATGTATGTGTGCATATGTACGTTCCTTTTATCAGGATACGGACTAGAATACCCACGAACGCCCTGTCGATCGAATGGGTTGCTGTGCAACTGGCTGCATGTCAAACTTGTGATGGGTACCCTTCTTTTCTCGGGTGCTCGTGGCAACCGGCGACCCTGCGCTGCATCCTGCCCCTCATCACGTTCTTTTCTGCGCTCAACACTCAACAGACGCACGCCAAGAGGTTCGGGTTTGAGTCGGGGATGCTAGACCGGAGAGCAGTTTTCACCATTCACTCCTATAGCTACGGCGGGTTCTCCGAGGGCCTGCTTGAGGCTTTGCCCATCGGATGGTCCGCTGGAAAGAACGCAGACGGGGGGTCGTTCTTTCAGACACATAGCCAAGGGGCCAAAGTTAAGGTACATAGCCTAGGTGTTAAGGAACATGTTCCTTTGGCCTTACCGAAGAAAATTATTCACACCGCATCGCATCGCATCGCATCATGGGTGGTGGGGTGATGCAGCATATGGTACAGCAGTTTGGAGTCCAACGAAGGTTGATCACGAGAGTGGGTGGTCGTCACGAAGATCGAATGAGATGGTGTTTGACATTTATTTATCGGTGTGAGGTGCGAAACCCCGGACAACCCTACTGTAGCCTCGACCATCCGTTCCGGCAAGGGTAAGGTTTTCGACGGAGGGGCGGTGACTCCGCAGGGTGGGACGCCGCCTCCGGTGACTGGCTTGGATGTTTAGGAGGTGGTCGGTCCTCTGTTTCCCGCCATAATATCCAACCTCACACTCATCGCTCTGTAACGTCAAGCTGTTTTCAATTTCACACTCGGTTTCACACACCGCTCTGTTGCTAAAGCTGTCTTCAAGTTCGCGTACGGCTGTGTACTCTCCCCTAAGGAAGGTGTTAAGGCATACTGCAGTGCCCTTAGGTAGCGCTTGTACTTGCGGTTGAGTGGCGCTGGGTGTGTTACTGTCGTTGTGCCCCTCTCCTGCAAGTGGTCCAGGTGTGCATCAGCAAGCCAGACATTGCTGGTCGTGGGGAAGTGTCCAGTGCTACCATCAACGGCAAGAACGTCGACGACCATGCAGCTCTCACGGGGCGGCGTGTTATTCGCCGCAAGGACAATGTCGCGATCGTGAGCTACAATACCGTATGTATGTAGAATTTGGGGTACTCAGGCAGACTGGCAGGTGAAAACCTACTGATCCCGGGGGGCTTGCGACGCAACCAGCTAAATAAAAACTAAACTAAACCCTTCCCGGTTGTTGTAGTATCCTAGTAGCGATACCATATGATAAGATGGCGTTTAAAGTTTAAACGCACCTGCTCCTCGTTGGCTTCTCCAACTCTTGGTTGAATCGAACGGCCGCTTCTACAAGGGGTGATGGGAACGATGCGGCCGTGCAAAGGGTGTACGCTACCAACACCTGGTCGAGAGCGACGGTTTGACCATCGAGGTCGCACGTGGCTTCCACAGTGTCGTCCATCAAGCGATGCTTACCCTCGAGGCGTCCCCCGACATGTCGTTCGGAGATGCCGGAGATCGTTGGGAATGCGCTGCGGTTAAAGGTTGCCTGGCGGGGTCTTCCGGTGTTTCCGGGGTCATGGGCCTGGTAGGGAGTCAATACGTGCTTTGGCCCAAAGCCTGTGGGGGGCTGGCCAGCCGCTACTACAGCTCGGGAGCTGTCGCTGGGTGTGGAGGGTGCAGGGAATTTTTTCGTGAAGGGGTTCTGAAGAGATCGGCCCAGGCGGCGAAGCCGGTACCACACCCGTGCACCAGCAACAAGGACATGGCCTCCGCGCAAAAGGTGTGTGTAGCCTTGTGGCCTGCAAGTTGTTTACCGTCAGTGGATCAAGGGTCGTCACACGTGTCATCCTGTGGTTTCCACCTCTCTCTCACGCTCTCAATGTTCGCCTGTCAGCCTGTGTATGCCCCCCCCCCCCCTAATCTTGCCCACTGGTGTAGCAGGACAGGAAACGGCACGCCTTGGCACAGGAGCTTAAGGCGGAGAGAGAGAGAGAGAGAGAAGCCCACGTTAACATCCGGCTACAAGAGTGGGTAATGGTAACGGGGTACACGCAAGCAGCAGGAAGTCGTTAGGGTTCGGATCAACGACCGGCAAGAAGCGGTGGTTCACGCGATGCTGATGCTGATGCTGATGGGGCCGGCGGGATCCATGCGCACAAGTATGCATAGGAACGAAGGAATTCAAGACGAAACTTGCCGGCGGTGGACAGCGAGCGATTTTCGAGGTTGTTAACATGGTTGTGAGTATGTGTTGTTATTGTTTGTTGCAAAGAGGGGGACAATTTTCACTACGGGTGCGTGAGCTGGCACAGGGCAGACAGTGAGCTCGCACAGGGTCGGTAAGATCGCACCCCTGTGCGATTTGTAAAAGAAAAGGCTGCGTTAAGAGATTTGATTCGGGTGTTTCCGAGGGGTTGGTGTGGTGAGTTCACACCCGACTAAAAGTAAACTTGTGAGCGTGAGGTTCAGGGAGCGGACACCCCGAGTTGCAACGGTTTGCGCATTGTGGTAGTTTCATCTCACAGTCTCGCTCTCTCGTCGAGGATCCACTGCGTTGCGTAGATCGCATTGTGGCAATGCACACGTAAAACTGAGGAGTTTCTTCATGATCGGAGTAGTTGGTGTTCAATCATAGTCTACGCACCAAATCACTCATACCCCGTCGATGTGATCTAGTCAGGATCTCACGTGTCGGAGAGATCGCACAAGAGCGTGCGCCAGAACAAAAGCATGACCGAACACTTCCGACACGGGTCGCAAACTTCGCACCCCTGTGCGAAAAAAAAAAACGGAAAAGAAACGAGCACGTATGCATATTATGCATACGTCATCTTGCCGCCGGGGGAACAGAAGAATGCCAGGGGGCACACAGATAAGCCCCAGCCCCTACCCCGAAAATTGTCGTTGGTGGTGAAGGATACCCCACCCCCCTTGAGGATGCTACACTCGCTGCTCGAGGGCCTCATGTAAGTATGAGTTCTGTATGTCTGTAGACTGTAGTAGTAAAGGCCGAACGATTCACTATGCAAGTCGAGCTTCCATGTTCCGAATCGGGTAACGCCCCGCCCGGCCGTGAGGTCCCGTTCTCTTACCGTGGTCAGATCAGAGTCAACATCTCCGTCCATGGATGGTATTGCCGACAGCAGTACAATAGGGGGGGGGGGGCGGGTTGACGGCAAAAACAAGTAGGTGTGGACTCAGGAAAGAGATAAAATCGAATTGACTGGAAGCTGGAGGGTTCAGGAGTTGCCCTGGGTCGGACAGAAAACACTTCAGAAAGCATCATACGATTGGTTTCGCTGACATCTCGTACGGGACTACACGGTATAGGGCCGGTCACCCTCTACAAACTACATCACTAAATTTGCAATAACGAACAGTTGTTGTGCCTTGTGGTCTTGGATCAAGAAAACAGATGCACAGCCTGACATAGCATGTTATCCTGTTGATCTCCCAACACACGCTCACGATGAACACTACAGATAGCGCCCGCACTTAGGATCCTCGATTAAATAGTTTTGGCCGATGCTGGTGCTCTTACAGTACAGTACTGACTTCCTCTTGTGGGCTACAAATGGCCGCTATATATATAGGTTTTAGTGTAGAGGTTCGTAACCCGGCACACCGATGGTGCTCAGGTTCTTTGTTCTGAACCACGAAAGCGGGCACTATCTGTAGTATTCAGCAGAAACCGAACCCGAACCGGCATCGTCGTGTCGTGCTACTATAAAGATGCCTCAGGGAGCAGCAAAGCACAAGAGGACAGCAAAAGATTAGAGGCCTTTTCATCTAGATATGCTAAACGAGGTTCATGCTTCCATGTCTAACCTCAGAGAGGCTGGAAACTCCAACCTTCCTGATACCAACAACCACATCATCAGGCACGTACTCTGCAGGAGCAGTGCACCCGCCTATTGTCAGACCCCCTCCAAACCAGCCATCCGGAATGGAGAAGAACGCGTTCTCGTACACGGCATCATTGCATTGCCTTGTAACACACCGTGCGTAAAGCACCCTTCCAACAGACAGACAGCTAGCAGGCAGACAGAGGTCCACTATTATAGCTGGCATCCTTTGTCCGCCGGCTAACTCTTGGCAGCACACTCTTTCACATCACCAACCGCACGCACCAAGTAGCCACACCCCCGCCTCACGACTAACCCTCAACCTAGCCCCTGCTCCCTCTTCTCGCCCCGCCCGACCCTCCCTTTCCTCTCCCCCCCCCCCCACCGCCGCCGCCACGCCCTCCCGCCATTCGTTCGCGTTCAGACATGCGCTTTCGGATCCCGGGGGGTGCCGTGTTTCGACTGATGTGCAGCACGCCGGACTTCATCATGCCCATCGAAGGAGCCGGCCCGAAGCTACACACACAACAAAGGAAGGGGAAGGCGCGTGTTTAGTCTCAGGCAAAGCGTGCGGGGGTCGGTGGAACTGAGTTGAGCACAAAGACTACCACACGCACCACGCGCACAACAAAACGGGAAAACGAGCATGTTTGCTTAGGGGAAGAGGCATACAGAGTGGGTACGAAGACTAGATTAGATCAAGGAAACCGGCAGTGTACGGGGAAGACGAAGAAGAACGAGGTTGAGATTTTTTCTGAGTCAAAAACATGGAAAAGAAGAGAAGAGAGAAGAGGGACTTCCCGCGGGGGCTGCGTTGGTTTTTTTTTTCGCGTTCTTCTAACCATAGCACAGCGTACCGTGTCAAGTAATTCGCAGAGCAGGTTCGCGGTGGCGGCGGTATTCATACAAGTAGCCGTGTTCAGAAGGAGAGGGGGGTCATATCATACGTCATACGTAGTGGTACCACAGAAGGTACAACACCACGGGCCGACCGGGGGATCGCCACTAACATTCGAAGTATATGCTTGCATTCTGCACAAAAAAAAATAGAGGACATCACCAGTATCCTTCGATCTCGATTCGACCCCCAAGTGTCCTCACTGGACTGATTGACGGGCAACGAAGGCCTCTCGAGTGACACACGACCAGGACCCACCTCGAGCTACCACCTCCTCGTTCGCTTACGCCACCCCTACTGCTTCCACCACTGCCGCCGCCGCGGCCACGAGACGTTTGCGCCGACTTCCTCCTGGCCGATCCAGCGTTACCAGTGACAACACCAGCCTCAGCCTCCATGGCTTCCCGGCGTTCCTCGCGCTGCTTGGCCTTCTTGCGGAGCCCCTGTAGCATCACGTACGGCATCCTCGGGTCTTTCGGAGCCTGCAGATTACGTTCGCGTGGTTCGTTGCACACGTGATGTGATGCGAGAAAGCGGGCAGAGAGTTGTGCGTTTCGGTTCAGCCAAGGTCATGCGGCGAATGTAGTCCGGTGATGTTGGTCTCACAAGTCCACCGGAGGGAGGACAAAGAGGAACATATTAGAGCTCGACGAAGCACGAGCGTGTTGGACAAGGCTGGTAGGCAGAAACGGTTCTTGGGGAACGGGTGCAGCGGTACCATGTGCGGGAATCATAACCATGGGAACATAGCCAAGCGTGGTAGGGTATGCCATGTCAAGATGAAATGGCGATGGGAATTCGAAGATATGCATGTGTATCAAGAGAACAGGAGACCGATCTCGTGTTGCTCTCCGACTTGCAAAGCCGCACTTACACGGCACTCAGTGCTTCGCGTTGGCAATTGCAAGGCGGGTTGGTGTGTGGTGCGTCTTTCAAACAGCGCGCTCTGCATGGATGGTATGATCTGGCGTACTGTTATCTGCGATAGGCAGCATGCTGCGCCGTTCTCCAGCATGATAACTTCGCAATACCCCATACCTCAACCCACAGAACCGCGAGATGAGGACGGAACCAACCTTGATTCGTAACTCATAACGCACGACAAACATACCAATACCCAGCCACACAGGTGGCAGGAACAGTATAGCCAGCAGCAGCTACAGCGTTGATACAAAACAAACTACGTTGGACTGTTGGTCTTCTATGGCACACGGAGGAGGGTGCAGGTTATCCTACCAAAACACAGTTACGGCCAAATCAGCACGAAACCGTTCAACAATCCACCATCACCCACCCTGCCACCCCTCTCGACGATCTTGCGCGCTTCGTAGGCCTTCTTCTCCTTCCCCGTGAACTGTTCTGACCCGAGGTCCGTCACCGCCTTCCAGATCTGCTGGTAGTCGCGCTCCCAAGAAGGCGCCCTAGGGCGCTTTCGTCCTCCTCCTCCTGCTGCTGCTCCTGCCGCTCCGTCCGAGCGCTTGGTGACGTCGCCACCATCAACACGGGCCGTTTTCCTTGGCTTGGGACGGTTCTTTTCCTGCGCAGGGTGGGTGAGTTGACGGTTTGTGGAAGAATACCGAAAAAAAGTTTATTTGGGCGGCGAAAGAGGCGCAAGTTTTCCGTTTGCTGCGGCACGCAAATTGTGTTGCTGACGTTCGCGCTCAGGGACTTGAAAGAAAATATTTTCCGATTCTCGACATCCAGCTTCGATTCTTCGGCACGCCCTGTTAGAATCTTGCTGGCCCATCGTGTGATGTCCATCATGCGTGCAATCTCGTTGAGGAAGAGGAGCAGAAATCCGTCGGTGTGCACACACCTCTCTTCTTCGCTATGACCCGTCATGCGCAGTACCCTCACTGCCACGTTGGGGGTGGGGGCAGCTAGATTCGACAACACTTTTTTTTCTTTTTTTTTCTTTTCTAAACATGACCCAACGAATCCATCTCTGTTGTTAGCCCCGGCAGATAACGCAACCTCTACTTCAAGTACAAAGCACAGGCCATATTCCTGGGCCGCCCGCATGCATGGGAGTGTGAGACAAGACAAGCACTCCTTTCGGTTGACCGTTTCCTTTCTTCTGCTGCGGGTTACCGGGGAGCGACGGTAATTGCTGGTACAGTAACACTGAGGGCCCCCGTCTGTGATGCCGAAATTGCGTCGGCAGACCCGGGAAGGTCATGCAACCAACACTCTCGAGCATCACCTATTTAGTCAAATTGGTACACCCGAGGAAAGCAGTAGTGAAGACGCTAGAAACATGTTCTTCCGAGTTCACTGCTACTGCTGTACTCTAGCAGCCCCACGCGATTGGGGTCGGTGGTCCCAAGCGCGCTCAGTACGTGTGTGACGAGGATAGAAGTTACCGGTGACTGGATGGATTCAGCCGATAACCGGCACAGGTGCCTTGAGGCATCTCGGACAACAGGATGTCTTGCCTGCAGCAGCAGGATTTCGGTGATACGCAGGGCGTATTCGACGGAATGTTACCGTCTCTGGCAGGGGAAACGCAAAGCCAGGAGCCACTGCTTGGCTGCAGGCTGTCATTTCAAATCGACTGATGCTGCACCGTTAACATGACTTGATTTGAAAGGGCAGCAGCATTTCGTTCATGAGTAGAGCGTACGCGAGAGGCTGTTAGCAGGAGTGGGAGAGGAAACACAGAGACAGCAGACAGGAAAGGAGAGCAGCCGTGTCCTGCTGGGTGCGAGAATGGCTGAAGGCATCTACAACAATATGCCGGTTTTCTGCTGTGGGTACTCCTAGTGGTCTCCCTCTCTCTCTCTCTCTCTCTCTCTCTCTCTCTCTCTCTCTCTCTCTCTCTCTCTCTCTCCCTGTGTTGTGAACGGTGGACCGTGCACGGCGTCAAACTGTCTCTCTCACTTTCAAGTTTTGCGCTGAGGAATACGCGCCGGGGGCCTCAACCACTTGGACACCACCAGCAGATGTTGAAAAGCCATGTCCTTTCCTTGCTCTTGCCGGCATCCTTCTGTCTCTTTGGAAGCAGCGCAGTGCGGCAGCTTCGGCAGTGTGAAGTTGGTTGCTTTTCGGAGATAGATAATCGGAGATCGCAGCGTGGGTTGTCGATAAGTTCTAACAGCGTTTTTTTCGAGCAGCAAATAGAACCCGCCGCACGTGTTTTTTGCACCGCGCTGCGTGCTGCTCGTGGCTCTCCTGACGCACCTCTCTGTCTCTCGCTGCGCTGCAGCCTGTCCGGTCTGCCGTGAAGAACAGAAATCTTGTAGCCATGAGAGAGTTTCCGAGTGCAGGGCGAAGGGCTTCAATACACCGCGATACTGTCAACAGCAGGGCCGCCGGGAGTCAAGATGCATTGGTGTCTCCAGCAACTGCAATAACGGCAGGAGCACCGCACACGCGGCGGCGCCGGCGAACCTGTTTCCTTTTCCTGGCCGTGTTGTGCTGCAACTTCGGCAGCAAGAGCGGAAACGACGTCCACGCTCTTGTCGTGCCATGCCCCCAGCACAGGTCGTCGCTGGCCTCTTCGACAGCGTCAAGCTTCTCCTCATCATGTCGGGTCGGACCTCAAACCTCAACCCTCGGTAGCAGCAGCGGCTCTCCCGGAGCTGCTGCTGCTGCTGCTAGAGCCCGCGTGGCACCGCCGGCAACCCTGTTAGCCATGCAGCAAACCGGCGGGAACTGGGAAGAATACTTCGGTGGTGGTGGTGGTGGTGGTGGTGGTGGTGGTGGTGGTGGGCGGGAGGGGCGTAGGGGCCGGGATCAAGGCTCTGGAGCAGCGACAGGCAGCAGAGAACGAGGACGTGGCCGGGGAAGGGGAGGTGGGCGTGAATGGGCAGTCGAAAGAGGCGGTGGTGGCGGAGGTGGGCGTGATGGTGGCGGCCGCGGTGGATGGGGCAGTTCAGGGGGCAGAGAAGGAAGAGGGCGCCAGTACGACAACGGTGGCGGTGGCAGGGGCAGGGGCAGGGGTGGTGGCAGAAGCGCGTTCGGGCGTGGACGTGGTAGGGGTGGAGGAAGAGGCGCCAGCAGCGCGTACAGCGATGGTCCTGGTCGGTACTCAGGCAGAGGGGGCGGGGGGGGCGGCACTCGGAGCGGCCGAGGGCGCGGCAGAGCGTCAGCTGGCTGGAACGATGGCCCGGGCTACAACATGGACGACTTCGAGCTGGTGGAGGAAGGCACCGGCGACGATGGTACCTGGGACGATTATAGCGACTACAGCGACGATCCTGGGCTGTACAAGAAGCCCCGCGGCGCCGACACCGCCTACGTGGAGGACCTTGGTACCGAGCTCAAGGTGACTGCTGCTGTGTTGCGGTGTTACGTCCCAGGATGTCTGGGTATGATTCCGGCGGGTTTCTTGAAGTTATTTTTATCACTCTAGGAACCGTTCCGTGAAGAGAGGTGTATGCGACGCATGTGTTCCATTGACCACAACCAGTCATGTTGATGTATGCATACAATACAGACCTTAGTTCATGCAGACACAGCATTAGGGTCGGCACAAGAGTTGAAGCTTGATACCTGCATGTATTTCTGCCGGCAGGGGGATAAAGAGTCTTGCCCCACACCACACTAGCACTGTGCAAACACCGGAGTACCTGGTTTAGGTGACGCTTGGGGTGAGGGCCAGGGTCTGCCGTCAAGTCTTGTGCCAGACAACCCCAACAGTGTGGCGGCAGCGTATATCTCTGTTAATGATCTATAATTCCAAATATAGCGGAACCTAGAGTGCAGGCAAGTTGCCACCTTTGTGTGCCCGCAGACAGATATCTGTGCCAATGTATGCGAAACATGCTCAAGTCTCCCCCGTCTTTTGCTCTCTCGAATCATATCTTACAGAAATAGAAGCGGCTTTTGGTCAACGAAACTACGCGTGTGGCTGGACTGACCCTGTCTTTCACTAACTAAAACTTGTTCCACGGCTGAAATTCAACGTCTTCTCTCCGTGTCCCAAAGGTAATGACCAGAGGAGGCGGGGATGGTTTCTCCGCAGCCCCTGCAGCGAAAACCGTCTTCAGCGCCGACCCCAACCTCTCCCCGGTGTCCGGAGAGCTGGGGGTAGGCCGCAGCCACAACCGCGAACGGCGCGCCGCCCGCCGGGAACAACGACGGCGGGAAGAGCGCGACAGCGAGAAGGGGCGGGGGGAGGAGGGGCGGCTGTGGTCGGAAGATGACGGTGCCGCCGATGCCGCTGCCGCTGCCGCTGCCGAGGCTGCCAGGGTGCGGGACGGAGCGCAGCTGCGGATACAGCGCAGGGAAGAGAGGGAAAGGGCGGAGCGGGAACGCCAGGCGGAGTACTTCGCTTCCATCGATGGGCAAGGCGGAGATGCTGGTGCTGGTGCCAGCGATGGCGGGTTGGACGACATCTTTGGCGACTACTTCTCGCCGAAAAAGTCCTCGACGCCGCCCTCTTCTTCTGCCGTCGCCCCCCAACCCAAGCAGCGGTTTGCCCAGAATCCTTCCCCGGCTGCGGCCACCTCAGGCTGGGACCAGCTCCCACCACCCGCGTCGTCATCCACAAGCGGCAGCAAACGCCCCGAACGGCGGGACGACTACGGCAGCAACCTTAGAAGAAACCCTTTGCGGGAAGCCGAGCGTGACGACGGGTGGGAGAGCGTCGTTGACGGCGACTACGGCCGCGGCCGCGGGCGCGGGCAGGGGCGCGGAGGGCGTGATGGCGGTTACCAAGACTATTCGGAGCCGGTATCGGAGGGCCGGTTCGGCCGACAGGCTCAGCAGCAGCAACAGGGAAGGCGCGGCAATGGGCGCGGAGGCGACGACTTCGGCCCTCGCGGGAGAGGGGGTGGAGGAAGGGGTTCCGCCGCGGCGGCGGCTTACGGAGGTGGCGGCGGGCGGGTGGTGGACAAGAGCATCTGGGACGCGGACCGGTGGGAGTCGACGGGATCGACGGCCTGGATCAATGCCGGGGAGGGGGACGGCAGCGCGGGTGGCGGTGGGAGTGGCGGGGGTTCTCTGCCGAGTTGGAAGGTACGACGGACATTGAGGAAGATGTTTACTTATTTCCATCATTTCTTTTTGTCCCGCTGTGTTCGTGTCGTTGACGCGGGCCCGGTTGGATATGGCCATTCACACGCTACAGTACAATGTTCTTTCTTTGTTCGAGGGAAGGAAATGCTGTACAATAATGCGTTTTTTTGCTGGCCTAGATTTTCTTCTTGACGTCTGGTTCAACTTGTTTTCTTTGTTTGATGGTTTGTTGTCGAAGTCAGAGAAAGCATGAATGATGCTTGTGTGGTTGATCTCGACACCGCCGAACACGTTGGCGAAGAGTCCTAACCACGAACCTTCAACCCACACAGAAACCGCCAAAATTATTCCTGAACATGATTCTTTCAAACGACATCAATCTAAGCATGCGTTCTAATCAAAGCTCTTGCGAGGGACCGTTTTGAGTGATTGCTCCGCGTTTTTTGTCGTGGTGTTGTTGCGGAAGGTCCCCAAGGCGGAACAAGAGACGGCCAAGGCGAACAGCGCGCCTGTTCCTGATTGGCTGCCGCGACAGGGAGGCCTCGGTTCGGAGTCTCGCCGGGGAGTTGCCCCGCTTCCCGAGGGCATCGACACGAGCGTCAAGAAGTAAGGCAGCATGATTACTGTGTAGTCAAGAAGCAAGGCGGCATGATTCGTGTGTCGCAAGAAATAAGGCGGCTTGAAGTAAGGCGGCATGATTACTGTGCTTGAAGTAAGGCGGCATGAATCATGTGTCGTCAAGAAATAAGGCGGCATGATTACTGTGTAGTCAAGAAGTGAGGCGGCTTGATTTTTGTGTCTTTGTGTCGACGGTAGTGCGTGTCCCGGCGTGGGCTTGTGTACCTTTTTTAGGCCAACTGCTCGAGGGCGTTTTTAGTTCATTCCGGGGTAATTGTGTTGCGTTGTTCATGCGAAGGAAATTGAGACAGACTCCTGTGCGTAGCATGTGGTACGCAGGTAGACAAACGGCCGGGGTTGACATGTTCTGAGGAGATGTACAGGACAGCAACAAGTTTAATTTACAGTGCAATTTCGCACACGGTGCGTTTTTTTTGTTTTCAATGAAAATGAGAATAAAAGATGAGGAAGGAGGAGAGAGGGAACGAGAGAGTTGGGCAGAGAAAGAGCGACAATGGGGAAGTGTTGGTACACCTTACTCGAAAGTTAAGATGAACACGTCCTTGAGATGCTGCGGGCGAGTTTTTTTGTGCGAATCCAGACTGAAGGAGTCTGCGCC